AAAAATCATGTGATATGACGTAATTTCGACCATTTCGACTTTTCATTTCGACTTTGACCTCCAAAGTTGAAACATTTGTACTTTTGGGTTTTCATTTCGACTTCATGTATATTATATAATATCTCAATTGATGAATCACAACTAATTCAGATGCGCACAAACACTACTTTCTTTAAATAATGATCATCGGAAAAGATTGGTATACTACAAGAATATGAATAGGAATCAAACGCTTGTTGAAAATCTTTTTGTTCCTCATGATTCAGAGATTTTTCACTATATACACAACATCGCTTTCCACAATATTCACAATTAATATAACTGCAGATTTTTCCTACAAGTAGAACAGACTTTAGAATAGGTTCTGCATTTACTTGCGATTGCATATATGTTGCCTATACTCTTTGGTAGTTTCAGTTCCATAAATGTTTTAAAAAACTGCATAATGATCCACATTATCTAATTTTTAAAAAGTTTGTAAGTATAATATAAACATACTTTATATATACGAAATACTAAATATTACCTTATGAAGGAATTGGATCTGAAAGAAAACTCAAATTATGAAATTCAGATAATGGAAGGCTGATTGGTTTGCAATATAAACAGGTAGTGTTATTGCATTTTCTTATCTGAAATAAAAGTAAAAAAATTAAAAGATTTTGACGTATACCTAAATAAATAAAGTGATACACATATCTGAAAGTTATAAGTACGCGTGTGATAATGAGTATTTATGAACTCAATTAATGCAGTATGATGGCGCATTTGCGCCTGTGTAGTTTCTTCAATTTTTAAAGTTGAATCTATAACAAAAATAGACTGCTTAAAAGTAAGATATTATACAAGTATAAAATTAAAAAAAATATAATAAAAGTTTTACCTCAAATAATTCAACAATGCTTTCTTCACTTGCTGAACTGTGATATTTAAATTTTTATCTTTTAATAAAAGCCGTTCTGTTCACTCATTTAATATATTTTGAACATTTGTCACACTTTTCTTTAATTCAGATTCTAATCCACTAAATTCCTGAGCTTTTTTTTGTATATTATCTAACGTATTTGTCATATCAAACAGAGCTTCAAATTCAGAACTCATTTGATCTCGTTTTAATGCAACACCCTGCAACCCTAAGTTTAAAGTACTCATAACTTGTTCTGCAGGATTTGTCCAACTATGATTAGAAGCTGTACAAACTGCAATGAGCATATCAAAATCTCCACAAAGAAAAAGACAAATTAATGCAATTTATACTGATCCATAATTACAGTGGTGGTCTGGTCCTTCATCAGTATAAAGACATAAAATTGGAGGTAATACTTGGTGATTATAATAAATATTAAGTGCATTTAAAAACTCAGTTGAATGTCAAATAGCACTACTTGGTTCAAAGGTTGTATCCTTATAGGATACAAACACCTGACTATCATAAAATGATCCAGAAATTTCATCTAGAATTGAAATAAAAAAGATGACAGATGGTGTTAAGGAAAGTTTGGTAAAATTGTGATCAGCAGCAGCCAAAATGCTATCTTGAGCAACTGTAAAATGCTGATTTCATACACCTATAGAATGCTGCACAGTAGTGTGCATCATCACTATTTTTTCAAAGCAACCAACTTTGCACTTGAAATTTTACTTTAAATCAACTAGTATAAGGTATTGACCATGTTGTAGTAGCATTTGTAAAACAAAATTGAAGGCAAATCCATTCTTGTGATGGAATATGAATTGTGGAAGGAAGAGAATTATTATGGATATTATTTAGCCTTTTCATTATAATTTCACGAAGATTATGGACAGATAAAGCCAATGGCATATATAAAACTGTTCCATGATGTCGCTCATTTACTGCAAGCAAATTCTATTAAAAAATTTGTAAATTAATATTTGAATTTATAATGTAATATTAAATAAATATAAAGTTTTTTTTACTTGTTCATTAAAATAGGCTTCTAATTCATCTCAGAATGCATTAAATTTTGTTCCTTTAAATCCATTATTTATTTGTAAATCAAATATAATATTAGGATCTACCAAAGTAAGCATTAATCATAGTCTCTCTTCTACATCACGAGAAATAGTATTTGAAGTTACAGAGGTATCTCCAGTGAGATCAAAATAAAGCATTCGTAATATAACAGGAGAAACTTTCCTAATATAGAAATACTAAGAACACAAGTGTTTAGTAAAATAATGTAAATTGCAAAAATAATTTAATATTAAAACAATTAAACATTATATTATTAATTGCCTTATTCAACACATTCTTTCACATTTGCCGTGTAAAATATTGAGGCAAATTTTCATGAATTTTAGCTAGCATATGTGCTTTCAAAGTTTTATTTTTTTCGTCATTAAACACTTCAGTTTCTGGAATTTTCCATATATAATTAATAGTTCCCAAATAATTACCTTGATGATATCTAAAAATAAAATAATATTAGATGCTATACATGATTTTTATTAAAAAAAAATCAATCATAAACTAACCTATATATTCCTATTGGAAAACTAAGCTGCAATTCTTTTATAAATCGATATCTTTTCATGATATTAGTTGAAAGGTATGGCTGAAGATCAATAAATTTATATAATGGTTATTCAAGTAACGCATTATTTAATTGGATATAATTTTCATGAAGATGGTTGTAGGCTGCAATTTGATACATGACACTACTATTTTCAGGATTGCAAACATTTATTAGTTATAGTTAGATATTCTGAATATTTTCTCAAAATTTCAATTAAAGAAAGTATTGAAGGCATTATTTGATTTCACGAATTATTGCATGCCTATGGTTGATTAATAGATAATTCAAGAGAATGTGAAAGTTGAGAAAGTTTTTGTTGTGATAATTTTTCTTTTTTATGATGGCTGGTATGATAAAATTTGTTATATGATCCACCATTCTGATAAGTTTTCAGTTGTGTAAAAAGAATTGGCAAATGGTATGAACATGTATGCAATGTAGAAAGGTGTGGATCGATATACCAGAAAGCATTTGTGAGACGAGTCACAAATTTTTTGCCAATCGTATCATGTAAGCCACCTATCCATCCAACTTTTTGGACTTGAAACATCTCAATAATTTCATTGTAAAGTTTATCAATATTGTTATATTCAGTTTGACATTGAGGAAATAAAAGTTTGCTAGAATTTTTCATTAAAATGCTAAAAGCATTTGATCGGCTTTGAGTTGAAACTGATGTGTTTGAATTTGTGTTGACAACTAAACAAAATTTAACTTGCAAAAATCCAAAAACTTCTAATATTTTTAGATCACTATTTAACCCATTATCAACTTCTCGCCAACTTTCAGACTTTTCTCTTCTAACAAAAACTTGCACCTCTCTATTATTATATTGTTCTGCTATAACAGCATTAAAAAGATCACAAAATTTATTAACTGTAGATTCTATGCTTACTATACGTTCAGAGATGACACACTTGATACTTTCGTTAACTTGTACCAAAAGATAAAGCATGTTTATGAACTGGTCTTGTTTACGTGAAAAATCACGAAAATAGCAAAAAATACTAATATTTCAGGCCTATTCAACTTTGTTTTAGTGATTTAATGTTTGAAATAAAATCTGAGTCTACTTTGTTTGCTTTATCTATTTAGTAATCATAACTTTCTCATGATCTTTCAGTTGCATCTTAATGTCTCTACAAATATTGTAGAATAAAAAAATTATCTACAAAAAATGTGAGGTTTTGGAAAAAAAGAAGTAAAATTTTAAAATCGAATCCTGGCAAAAATAATAAATGTTAAAAAATTCATAGCTGATGATGAATAGGAAATGATTCAGAAAAATCTAAGCATTTATTGTATTGAATATCAAACAAATGCTGCTAAAGCAATGAAGCTTTAATAGAAAAGCTAAATATAAAAAAAAATTCAAAAATCCTTCATGTGTAAAAAAAAATAAAAGGAAATGGTGGTAAAAAAGTTTTTTTTTTTCACAATTATTATTTTACAATTGTTGTACAAATTTATACCTTTTATGCAATCAATTGATCAGCATACATGGGATCCCGACATATGCATGTATGAATTAAATCTGTCAATATGATCACATGATCAAAAATACAATAATTTTATTAGCCATATATTGTGTATAATATTCATACTAAATTTTCAAAATGAGAAGGGGGGGGGGGTTATGTTAAACAAAAAATCAAATTGGTATAGTCTAATATATATATTTTTTTAATAAAAAATTATATATATTATAAACATTTTTAAATACAAACCTTTATTTAATATATATTTTTGTTTAATATATTAATTATAACTAGGAAACGAAAACTGTCGTGAAGTCCAAAGCGAATATTCACCTACCCTATAACTCATTATTGTTTTATTCCCAGCATATTTCCAACACATGACTACGTCTTACCCGTGACATACACTTCACCTAGTGTAATTATAATATAATCAGCTATTAAAATCACCTTACGGATCATATGATTTACTATGATCCTTAAGGTGATTTTTAATAGCATATACTAATTAATAATAAAATAGCTAAAATTAATGCTAAAAAGTTTAACTAACGATCTTGAAGAACGTAAATTGTAACAATTAATAGTAAATTTTTATTACATACAATTTTTAATTATTTTAATTTTAATTATTTTTTTAATAAAAATATTTTTTAAAAGGGAATTTTTTTTTGATTGACATTGCATTTGTTTACATTTGCTTACTTAACATTTTTAGTTAGCGTAATTTTATTTACTTGACATTTATTTTATATATAGAATCTGCAGTATAACGCAAAGAATCAATAATCTGCATTGACTTATAATTCAAGCAGGCGGATAATAGGACATCGATCATTAAAGTGTCTGTTAATATATAGTCTTTTGCTTCACTTCAGACTAATTATAATTGTTACATAAAGATGACTATAACAACTCATACGATAAGACTAAAGAACATAAAGATAAAAAATAACTTATATTCACTGTAATTAGAGTATTGTTATAATTAGATAAAACTTTAAGAATCCTTTAAAAAGCAAGAAACTAAGTCTAGAAAAGGGTTTTCTGATTCATAAATAAAAATCAGATTCTCAAATATGTTACTATTAATTCCCTTCTTATCAGATTTTTGCTTAAAGTTTAACAAAATTGGCTAAGTTGATTAATACTTCCAAGTCAAATTAAGTTAGCTAATATTTTCAAGTTAAATTCCAACTGTTACTATGTTTATTTATCTATTACTTGGCCTACTTATATTAAAAGAAAAAAATAATATAATAAAAATAATAAAAAACAAATAAATATTATATTGTCATTGCTATTGTGTTTAATAAAATAAAGAATAATAAACATTAATAAGGTTCAATACTAAAACTTTATTATTATTTTTATTTTTTTTGTCTTATTAATATAAGTTTTATCACAAGAAAATAAAGTTTAATTTTTAAACACATAATAAATTTGATTAAGTTATTTGCTATTACAGCTAATTTTATAATTTATGAACTATTAATAATTTTCAATTATATTCAATCACAATATTTTATAATAATTTTATTATAAAATATTTTCAGTTGCATTTAGTCATAATTTATTAGTGATCTATGAATTATGAAATTAGCTGTAAAATCAAGTTACAAATATAGTAAATCATATAAGAAGTTTGCTAGAAAAATGGGATTTTAAGAATTTTTTATAAAAATTTTAATTTTTATTACATTTTAATTTTTGATAATATTAGATTAAAATGTAATAAAAATAAAATTTATTTTTATTATTATAAAAATTATAAAAATTCTTAATAAATTATATAAATTTTATAAATTTTAATAGTATAAGTTTTTTTTTTATGATAAATTTTATAATATTATATTATAATAAATATAACTAAAAGTAAATTAAATTTTAATTATAATTAATAATAAAAAATTTTTAACACTATAAATTGTAGTTTTAAAATAAATTATTAAAAAACAAATTAAATTTATTATATATGAAAAGTTTGCTAGAAAAATGAGGCTTTAAGCATTTTTTATTAAAATTTTAATTTTTATTGTATTTTAATTTTTGATAATATTAGATTAAAATGTAATAAAAACTAAAATTTTTAATAAAAAATGCTCAGAATCCCATTTTTCTAGCAAAGCTCCTATATATAATTTTTTAAAAACTTAAAATATTATTTGATTTAAATTTAAGTTAAAACTTTAAAATACAATTAATTTAACTGAAGTTATAAATTTCTTATTAGCTATTATTGTTATAATTTATTTATTAAAATTTTATATTAATATCTTTTTTATTATTATAAATCTTTTATTATAATATGATAAAAAAATTAACTAGATTTTACTTATTTATTAAGTTAAATAATTTAAAATATTGTTTATAATATAATAAGTAAATATTATATAACAATAATTATAGTTTAAAAAAATTAAACTAATCATATAAATTTTAAATAAATATATAATAATAATAAAAAATGTTTTTAATTCTTTTAGGTAAAAAAGATATATTATGAACTTATTATATTTTTTCTTATAAAATATATGAATAAATAGTTAATATAATAATTATATAATATTAACTTTTAAAATAAATATTAAATTATATATACATATTCTTGGTATTCTTAGAATTTATTAATAATACACAATAGTATCAAAAATATTTTTAATAATAAAAAAAGATTTTTTTGATACTTTAGATTAAAATATATTAGAAAACATAATTATTTAATTTTTATAATAATAAAAAATAATATATAAACCAAAGATAATATAGACAAATTGCTTAATTTTCAAAATCAAGTTAGTCTATACAGTGGCTCACAAAAGTAATGCAACTATGAAACATAAAACTTTAAATCAATATAACTTTTTAATTATAAATTATATCAAAATAAAATAAAGTTTATTGAATTTACCGAATCAAACTTTATTAAAAAATAAAAAATTTATTCCAATTTGATCACGTGAAAAAAAACTATGCTGCAATTTTCAAGTTTTTGGCATTGCATTATTTATGTGAATTTTAGTGATCAATATTTAACTGGTTAGATTTAATCCAAAAGAAAATAACAAATGCCGTACTAACACATTTATTTATTGGCTTACCTTTTGTTACTACCTTGTATATTCACTCTTAGCCTTGATTATATCATTTACTTTTTTCAGCATAGACTCAATTAAATTCAAACATATATCGACCTCTTGTAATTTTTCCAACAGGTCTTCCTTTCCTGTAGCTCACTTTAAAAGGTGTTTTAAATGATGTTTAGCTTCATTTCAAAGGTATTTTATGGGGTTTAAGTCTAAAAATTGTGCAGGCCAATCAAGAACAGTTACTCTATTTTCAAAAAGCCAATCCTTGATAATATTTGGCGTATATTTAGGATTATTATCATGTTGGAAAATTATATTTTCAACACTCAATTTCCAATCTGAAATGGATTCCATAAGATCTTCTGCAAGAATTGCCGATAAAGTTATCCATTTAAGCCATCATTAATTTTGCAGAGGTTAGTAATACCTTTTGGTGAAAAGCAACCCCAAACCATTATGTTATCCCACCAAATTTACTGTTGGTTTGACATGAGGACTTCTTGATGGTCCTCCAGCAGTATTGACTTTCATCTGAACCAAAAAGCATGAATTTACTTTTGTCAGATCAGATTATCTTCTTCCAATCCTTCACAGTCCAATTTTAATGCTTTTTTTGCAAAATCCAAGCAATGTTTTTGATGTGTTTTTTTTGAGGTAAGGCTTCTTTTTCTTAATTCTTGATTCCAGACCGTTTCATCAAAGTGTTCAGCATATAGTTTCAGTCAAAATTTGAATCTTATTATGATTTTTGAGTATCCTTTGTATATCAACCGCTGTAGAGTATTCATTAGAAGCAATAAGTCAGAGAATTCTACGTTCTGTGTGAACAGAAATTGCTTGAGTATAGCCTGGTTTTTTTTTATTCTTAAAACTACCTATCTTTTCTTTACGTTAATGAATTCTAGTGACTGTGGACTTATGGATACCTTCTTTAAATGCAATGATATTACCTTAATAATCTTCTTCGAGAAAGGCAAAGATTCTTACTTGTTTTTCAATGGATAATTGTAACATATTGAGAAAAAATTTTTTTTGTTGGCAAGAGAGAGGGTTAGGATATGTTTATTGTTATTGTTATATTTGGTAACCCATTGTTTTCGATTTTAATCTAGCCAAAACGGGTGGACCCAGAAAACCGCAAAAATAATGCAACTCCTAAAATGGAAAAATTGCGGTCAATCTGCAGATCATGTGATTAAATCGGAATGTAATTATACTTTTATTTTATTTTAATATAATTTATATTTAAAAAGTTACATTAATTTAAAATTTTATGTTTAACGGTTGCATTACTTTTGTGAGCCACTGTATGTATGCTTAACACATTTAAATTTTTTATTCTATAATTTAAATAAGACAATAGATAAATATTGTATAAGTATATATCAATATATATACTAATAAGACAATTAATAAATAAGTTTCAAATCCAACGAGATATTTTACAAAAAAAAATATTACAATAATAATTAATTCTAGTGTATATGAAAACAATTTTTGCAACTTCCTTTTTTAAATACATTGGGAGAATAATCATCACAATCACATTCTTTGCAAGGTCCAAAATTTTCATTTGATTTTTCTTTACCTACATTGTAATCTTGAGGTATATATGAATTTCTTGATACACCTACTGAAGGTGGTGACATTGTTCTAGGAATACTATTTCCAATTGATGAATATTCATACGAACTTGCACGTGCTGCCTTACGTGGAGCAGCTGCTGCTGAAGTTAATACAGTGGAATTACGAACTGGGGAAGGTTTGGAATTACGAGATGGAATTTGAGGCATTCCTCCGGCAGGTGATCCGGGCCTTTGCGACGATATATTTGATTGTGAAATAAGTGAACGACGTTGTGAGGTTTGACGCGCTGGAGGTGTATATGAATTATCACGAGATATTGATGGTGAACTCTTTGCTTGTGCTGGTGGTTCTTCATCAAAATCATCGTCTTCTTCATATAGTTCTTCTTGTTCAACTGATGTTTGCGTTGATAAATTTGTTGGTTTACGTGGAGGCATTTGTGGAGGCATTTTTGGTGGCGATTCAATAGGAATTTCCTCCGTATAGTTTGCAGGAAACATTCCATTTCTTTTAGTTCCATCTGCATTTTTAATTTCACCAATCCACCATCCTTCAGCTTCCTCCAAAACTGTGATAATATCTCCTTCGTCTATTGCCAGCTCATCTTCACCTTCACCCTCATAACTAAATATAGCTCTAACCTTTTTTTTTTGTGACGTACCGCCAGCTAAAATAATTATAAAAGCTTTAATCAAACGGTATCATGAAATTGTGTTAAAAAAAGAGATATTAATTTCAAACCTGGTTTCTTTAATTCAACAGATTTAACAGATGATCCAGATGATGCACTTTTATTGCGAGATAATCCGGATGGAACATTAAGGCTATTAGAACTTTCAGATTTGACAAGTTTTGATGTTCTCTTTGAGTTATGCCTTGACCTACTATAATTCGAATACGAATGAGCACTTGAATCATCATTATCTGAAGTTTGATCATCACCTCCATCACCTCCATCACCTCCATCAGAATTTGAATTAGTTGAATCTATTGTGGATGATCTTACTAGTGTTCGTTTACGTCTTGATGGTGACTTATTAGAACTATCAATGATCATAGGAATAAATAATAACATTAATATACATAACTGATCTTTAATAATGATAATTAGTCCGTAGTGTAACGAAGCACTATATATGTCTACGCAATGTGAAGGTTTTCCGCCCGCTCAAAAATTGAGTCGACACGTAATTGGTCACTTTCGTTACAATTGTGCTACGGACTTAACAACGGTTTTCGAAACCGATCCCTAGTAATAATAATACTATACCTCTCGACCCATTCTTTTTTAATATTTTCTAAGATTTCGTGTCCAGTTTTGAAATATTCCAATTGGGCATCTAAAAATGAAGTCAATTCCTGCAAATATTGGTCCTAATTATAAATGCTCGGAAATTAATTTACATCCTAGAATTAAAACCAAACATATATTATGCCAGGAGAAAACTAACCTCTGACTCGTTAAGTGCATGCATTTTATTATTTATATCCTCCATTACGACTTCATATTTTTCTTTTGCAGCACGCATTTCTTCTTCTAATTCTGGTTTTTCTTTTTTTGATTTTTGCACTTTAGTTAATTTTGCATCATAATCAAGTCTACGTGATTCTAATTTTCTTTTTAATTGCTAGTTAAAAAAATCATTCAATAAAAAAAATTAGCATTGATCTACTATAAGACAATACATAAATATAATTTCTTCGTTGCCTTACTTGATAATGTTTATACTCTTCAATAGAAGAAGTCAATCCGAAAAGGAAATCATCTCGTACACGTGACACATATTCCAATTGTGCTTTGGCAATCTTTTCGGCTGCACTACCAAAATTGATTAATCCCAATCCTATGCAATATGAGATTTCTATTAATTTAATTGAAAGGGTTGATTAAAGATTATCTTTCAATAATTTTTCCTCACCATACCATAGGGAGAATCTGAGCCAAGTTCTTCACCACAAACTTTCATAGTATTAGCAAGTGACTCTAAGGGTAAAACTTTCGCTTTTTCTTCTACCGAGTCCGTTTTCTTTGCTATATATATTAAATTTATGTGAATGATGTTTAAACTGTACGAAGATCAAAATGATCGATTAAAAAACACGTACACATGATCTTTATGTAGAAGTTTGTTGCAACATGGAGCCTATAGAGACCATCATATCTCCCATCGGTTTTTTGTTGTAATTCTTGGAATTCTTCGGTAGTCTGCGTTTTATGTCCTGCTCCGACTTTTTCGTTCGCCCACTATTAACAATAAGATTACTCGTTAAAAAAAAACTCAAACGTAATTACAACTTTGAAAAAATGTAACACGCCTGTTTAAATTTTCCAATATTTTTTTTCATCGTCAAGGAACTATAAATTATTGGTAGTATATTTTTTTTATTTTTATTTTTATTTTTTTTGAAACTTACGATATAAATATAAAATTGATCATTAAAAAAGTATTTGTACTGGAAAAGATTTGCTTTCTGAAAAAAGTAATTCGCTATTTATTTATTTTCTTATTATGGTAAAAAGATGTAGGTTTTATATTATAAGGTGTTACAATATATATAAATTTGTGTACTTAATATGGTTAGAAGTAGGTTAGAATGATCTGCTATCATTGGTTGTAAATTTTAGATTACTGGCATTTAACAAGTTTATTTGAATCGTAAAAATTGACTTTGATAAACATAAGCATTCTTATCTGTCATTTTCATCCTACAAAGAAAGTAACGAAAGTAGAAATACATATAGGATAAAATTTTATCGTGCTTTTACAATGTTTTTTATTGTTAAAAATTAAACATCTATTTTTAAAATTACTGTAGGTTAGTGTCCTTTTTAGATTGGCTATAAAATAAAATAATAGTAAATGATTCAAAAATTTATGCATGACAAAAATTTAGGTAATTTTATGATATGTAAAAAATGGAGTTTTCGATAAATATAAATAAATAAATATATATAATATATTCTGAATTTCCTTAGCTTCTATTTCACGATATACAGAAAATCAATACCAAGTTGCGAAATCAACTGGTTTATTTTTAAGATTTGATCGGCGTTTTGACACGATAACATGATAACGAAATAATTTTTTTTTAAAGAATTTTTTTGAAGTAGAATCATGGGTTATAAACAATTATTTAATCCAATTATATTTAATATGAAATTTAGTTCATTATTATTGACTTTGTTGGTCTTCTTAAGTTGTTTTGCTATATTAATCCATGCAGAACAAGATAATAACGTTCCAAGAGGAGTGGCAAAGTCAGGTGTGTCACCCAACTTTTTTTTTTAATAATTTTTTATAAAATTTATCTCGGTATTCAATTCGAACATTTCTCCTTATAGAAGCACTTCTTTATGAAAAGAAAGGATCGGAATGGACGTGTTTAGACGGCTCAGCAACAATACCGTACGAATCAATTAATGATGATTACTGCGATTGTGTTGACGGATCTGATGAACCAGGCAAATAACTTGAAAATGCAAATTTATATATAATTTTTCTTATGAAAAACCATTCGATCCATTTTTGACAATCATTCATACATTTTTTATAGGCACATCTGCATGTCCTAATGGCAGGTTCTATTGTACAAATGTAGGGTATATTCCGGCTTATGTATCATCCAAACGCGTAAATGATGGTGTTTGCGGTAAGTTTATTTCGATCTAAATTGTAATTAACGAAACTATAATGTTTACTATTTTTCTTTTTTTTATTTTATTTTAAAAAGAACCTGAATGTTGTGACGGATCAGATGAATATGATGGAAAGATTATATGTCTAAATACTTGCAAGGAATTGGCCAATATTCGAGTCGAGGTGTGTAATTGTAAAAAAAAAAAAAACCAACAAAATAACAACAGCATATTTCTGATCATCCGTAACTTTCTATACCTTGTAGGGAGCACGGATAAGACAAGAATATATTCAATATGGTATAACAACGAGACAGGAACAAGAAGCTTCTTTGGGAAGATTAAAAATATTACTTGATGCCGCAAAGATTAAAGTTTCAGAACGTGAAGGTAATTTTAAGAAATTCATTTATTGAAAATGATTTCACTTACCGATAAATTATTTTAAATACGAAGCTGTATTGAAAAGAGCTCAAGAGATGGAAAAAATCGAGTCTAAGGCAACAGGTTGGTTTCAGACGCGTCATTTGTATTTCTTGGAATGTTAATCGGCTTATTTATAATTGTAATCAATAATTAGTTAATGGCCGATTAAAGGAATGTCGAGAGAATATTAGAAAATTGCAGGAACGGAATGAAGTACTTCATGAACGAATTGACACGTTACTTAGCATCCTGGAAGAAATGAAAAATGATCATAACCAAAACTACAATGATGTTGCTGTTGAAACTGCGATTATAAAATATAACGAATTTGTAGAATTGTATGGAATAGAAACTGATCAAGAGGTGGAAATTTATGAAGACGAAATAGAGGAAGAAAATAAAGTTCCTGAAATTCAGACCAGTAAGAAGAGGGAATTTATAGATTTTTGTTTGAGATATTTTTTTTTTCACGTTATCTTACTCACCTTCCGACTCCCATATCTATAGAACTTTCGTTAAGCGAACGAGTTACCGAAGCTTTCGTAGACCTTTATGATGACGTGTTGGAAGCATTTGGATTATCAGAATATACCATTGGTAAATCTGAACGACAATTTTCTAGGCCTTCAGGTGATGGTAAATCCAAAGGTAAATCAACAAACATATTAAAAAAGAAGATTTTATATTTGAAAATATTTTTGATACATATATATTTTTTTTCAGAAGTAACTGTGGCATATGATGCGTTAAACGAAGCAAAAGAAGAGATTATTAATATTGAAAATGAAACTAAAGGTGTTAACGAAAAACTTGCAAGGGATTATGGACCTCAACAAGAATTTGCAAAATTAGATGAAACATGCATTAATCACGTTGATGGACAGTATACTTACACGGTGTGTTTATATGGAAAGATTACTCAAAAAAGTTCTCAAGATTATAGATCAACACATTTGGGGTATGATTTTATAATGTTCTAAATCATTCATTTTATTTTATTATTTACTAATGAATAATTTTTTTAATTGATATATTTTAGTAACTTTGAAAAATGGATTGGGTCTGAATCAAAGGATGATCCAAAATATTATACAGCACAATTATATGATCATGGAGCAAGGTGTTGGAATGGACCGGACAGATCAATTAAAGTCGGTTTTTTATATATATATAATTTATGTTATTAATTATTTTAAAAAATAGATATTTTTAATTCTAAATCTTTTAAAACTTTTATTCTAGATATATTTCGAATGTGGCATAGAAAACAAAATTCTTGCTGTTTCTGAACCTGAAAATTGTGAATATGTAATGAACATGACAACGCCAAGTGTTTGTTCTGAGAAATTCGAGAAAAACAAAAACGATGAATCAATTCATGATGAATTGTGAAAAAAAATAATTATTTTATTTAGAATCTAGAATGAGAAGTTCGTTCAACTTATTTAGCTTATTTCCATTTGTAAAAGGTTAATTAAGAACTAACTTGTTTAATTAATTTGGCCAAGTTTGAATCAAATAATTCAGATTTAATTGGCATTTCAGGTGTATAGAAAGGATTTTTCATAACATAATCACAATAAATATCATAAGTACGACGAAGTAATAAATCAATGTTTCCGTGGGTTGGCTCAGCAATGATTAAAAATTTTGTACCTAAAATTTAATAAATAAATTAGCATTGATTGAGGGGAGGAGAATTAATTAAAAAAAAATGATTTAGAAGAAAAACCTGTTAATGTTTGATAGCAATATAATTTGAATGTGTCTGCTTCGAGTACTTCTAAACCTGAAGAAGTTGCGTTTCGAACCGGTGATATTTTTGAAGTTATAGCATGTACTCTACAAATATAACAATGTCAATTATAACTTAAAAAGAGATTAATTAAATATTATGAGAATCAATAAGACTTTATTTATTAAATTACCCATGGAATGTTCCTGCTAATACCAAATATTCGTTAGAAGTAAGCTTGTTTAGACCTTCAACAAAGTCTTTTTGATAGATTAAACCTCCAGCTTTATTGATTATGTATAGTGAATAGATCATTGTTTATTTAAAAATTGAATGAAAAAGTTGAAGGAATGAATGTATATGTTTTGTGTTACATAAGAAAGATGGGATGGTTACACGACCAGAACAAATAAAGTTTATGAATGGTCTTTTCTTTTTTTGCACATTAATAAAAATTATTTCAACCTAAAAGATACTCCTTTTATTTTAGAAATCGGTAACTCTTGAACCGTAACTCCAATCACCATGTATTAGAGGTTCTTGTTTAGGTCCACCAATTTCACCAGTTTTAGGGTTTTTATCACCTTCGAATTGAGGAGAAGGTTTTTGTCGTAAATCAGGATGCGCTGATGTCAATTCTTCTTCTTCCATCTGTACATTAACGGAAGTAAAAGAACCATGATTCTTACGAACCAATTCTTCAAATTCTTTTTGTTCTCGTGGATTTGCCAATGGAACTGGAGCTGGTCTCAATTTAAATAATGGTTCAGTAGTATAAGAGCTAATGAATGGTGAAGGAATATTACGAAGGAACTGTTGAGAAGAAATATGTCGAGAATTACGAAAAAGGTTGAGACGAAAAATTTGAGCCATTTGGTTTTTTTTTTAAAAAAAAAAAATGATGGATTTAAGTAAGTTGATATATAATGTATCATAAATCACGTGAATACGAGGGGTAGCCCGGTTGTGCACTCAAAATTAACCATATTGATATTAGAACAAGATGATTGGGGGTTACGCCCCAGAATTCTCCTACTTTATGGGTTTCAGATAACTTTTTTTTTTCGTTTTTGGGTTTCATGTGATGGTCTATGCACATTATAAATTAACGGTTAAAGATATAAATGCTCATCATTGAAAAAAATAAATCAAATTGAAACGAATCTAAAAAAGTTTTTTTTTTTTGAAATAATTTCCATTTTATACTTTTTAATATTTTTAGGTATTACTTTTTTTTGTAACAATGATCCGCAGCATAATACTCGATGATGATCATCCCTTATATGGATAATTGATTAAAAAACCAAAAAACCTTTTGATCTTGAATGTATGATAAGAAAATTTTAAATTATTTTCTGATTATATAATTGCAGGAAAACTTATATTTCTTAACAAATGGACAATAATAATAAGATGGTTATTGAATCCTATTACAGTAATATAATGTCAATTGGTTGTGCAACTTCAGAATTCAAAAAAAAATTTATTTTATACAGATTGTCTTTAGATAAAATGAAATACTTCATTCGGAACTCTATTGAGAAACATAATTCAATCATTAATTACTACTTTATCAATAATCATAGTCATCTCCCTACTTTGTAGAAGCATCTGATCATCACTGTAAAATGAAAAAAAAAAAATACAAAATTTTTCATTAGCAATACTAAAAGTGAGATATGCATTTTCTGAACATTTAAATGCACTACTAAAATAAATCCAAAGGGTAAATTAAATAAATCATGTGAGTTATGGTCAAAGGTATCCGTCACATAATCGCTAAAGATACAAAATTCCGGAGGCTTCATTTTCGTCACTGGGTTGTCATGCTTATGACTTGCTTATGGCGTACTCATTGTTTGTTCGTTCGTACAAGTTTCTTTTTGCGTTTCCGTGTGAATTCTGTGGATCGATATTTGAATTAAGTTCCCAGACCATACCTAAAACCCTAGAGAAAAAAATGAATAAGAAAAATTATGACACAATATAAAAAAAAATTTCCTGTCAAATTATAATAGGCCCAAAAAAAAAAAAATAAAGGGCTGATTTTTTTTGCCTTAATAAAAAATTTTTTGAGGTTTTTTTTTTTTTCTCAACAAAAAAAAAAAACTTCCTAAATATAAAACCCAAAGTGCAAATGGACAACAACGATGTGTCTTTAGTTGAAGATACTCATCACAAGTCACCGTCAATTCAACAGACGACCAGAACGTCTCACACAACTTCAAAACTTGTTCACTCTCATACGGTGAACCTTTCCATGCAGCCCGGCGGGACTCATCCCCTTGGTTCCCTTATTCACCCAACTCCTACTCCTTCACCAACTCCTTTGTCTTCACAACAATCACAAGCTCAACAACAAATAAAGTTTGTATTTGAAAGGTTTTCTTCGGGTGTAAATACTCCCTCTTCAATGAACACTCCTATACCTTCTCCAAGACCGGTAATTAGGTTAGACGAAGACGCGACTCCTGATGTAATGGATATCCGTAAAACACATAAAACTCAACTAACCATCAATACAACTCAAAGTACTGATTTCGCTAAAAAGAACCGTAATAAACGAAAACACCGCTCATATAGAACTTCATTAGATTCTCCCGTTTCACTTAACAGAGACGAAGATTCAAAGTCCGACTCAGATTACGGTGACCCCATGATAACCGAATACACTACAAGAAGTGAGGCATTTTCGGTGGGTTATTTTACTTTCAAGGAGAAATTAGATTATACTGTATATTTATATACACACTTATATATACATAATGTTCCTTTAATACAAATAATGATGTAATTTTATTTATAATTTCAACAATTTTTTTATAAACGTATTTTAAATTTAGGATTACGATATGGATGATTCGGTAACACCCGTAGAAGCTTTGAAGAGACTTTTGATGCAATTTACAGCCATGTCTCATCGTCGACTTGAATTGATCCTGCCCGTTCTTTTAGATAATGACATAGACGACCCAGAAATTCTTTTACTAATTGAAAACGAACAATTCCTCCGTGATTTACGCGGTAAAAATGGGTCATCTCTAAGTATTGGCAACATTTTGACACTTTGGCATGGGATTCAAGAACATCGGAATGGGTCTACCGTTTACACACCAAAATCTTTTTCTTCTTGCTCCTCTTCAACTTCATCATACTCTCCTCCCCCTTCTTTATCAAGAGCTAATGCTGACCTTATTTCCTCTCAATTAGCCGCACCAAAAGCAAAAAGACCAAGATTGGATCTTTTAGAAAGAGATGATCACAGAAACGTTTCTTCTTCAGGACATGATTCTCGTTCTCATCATCACCACAATAATAATGTCGGTAACATTAAACAAAGAGTAAAAGCTCCTAAATTAAGTATGTCCACAATAGAGGAAGTTCATACTCGAGTGGACTGTGTTCTATCCGTTGTAGCGGCTGAGAATGAACGTCGAAAACATTTTGCGCTTTCTCGTAACATTAACGCTCGTCCTTCAGTTAGATTTGAGGATTTCGTTGCCGAACTGAAATCATCACATAAAATCCCAGTGGCTTTTGGTACTTTACGAGACATGCGGTTTGCGTATATGCTTAAAAAATTGGATAGACAACGTTATGCTGACACTCTTACAAGAAATAGAAGCAATGTCACAGAATTCTATAGGAGCTGTCAAGAGGTTTGTGAGGAGAATTTCAAGGACGATGAATTAGAGGCAGCTTTACCTTGGTTGGAACTCAAAGCAAAAATGTATTATAAGTAGGGGGATTTGTTTTTTTTTCTGTTTTCTTGCTCTTAAAGAAAAAGGAAAAAAAATCAATATTTTATTTAGGCATTGGCTTTCATTAAATATAATGAAAAGTCAATCAAAACAAATATTGTTATTCTTGCTATTACTATTACTATTATTATTATTTTATTTTGTTTTTTTTTTCTTTACGTAGAAATTTTTTGCTTTTTTTTTCTTTAAAAAAAAAAGGACGATTTAAAAAAGTATATCTTAACAGCTGTACATATAACAAAAAAAAAAAAAAATACCTCAAAAAAAATTATTTCAAAAAAATAGTATATATATATTATTATTATTATTATTATATCTTACGAAGATAAAATGTAAGGAGGAAAAGGCAAGCTTTTCTTTTTTCCCAAGACGGCGCTTCTCTTCCTGGAACTCCTGTCGAAATAAAACCCAAGCAAATTCGTCTTGGAATAGGTTTTTTGTATTATTGGTGGGTAGGAGTGCTTATCTTTTCTTGTAAAGTTTCTTTTGTTTTATATTATAAAGAAATTACAAAAGAACAAGTATTACGAGAGTAAATTTTATGTTAAAAAGGTGCGTTTCGTTTCGTTTCTTTTTTTTTTTTTTTTTTTTAAAAAATTATTTTTTATTTTTTTTTTATTTTTATTTTTTTTTTTTTAATTATTGGTTATTTACGATATTATTTTATCTCAATTAAAAAGATGAAAAAGAAAATTAGTTTTTTTTAATAAATCAAAAAAAAAAAAAAGGCTATGATAAAAACATTATTAATAAATTTTATTACTGTAAAATGCAAATATTTAAAAATCGCAGGAAAAAATAAAAAGTATTTTGGGATAGATTAGGTGATTTTAATGAATGAAAAAAAAATACTCCGCCCTGTATTTATATGTAATTTATTTTGTGAAACAACTACTATTTCCATAATCACGCAGTTTTCTGATGTGAAAAAATATATATATTTACGCCAAATTATAGAGCTTTGCAACTTATCATTTTTACGACATAAAATTATTCGCGAATTTACGTTTAATGCTTGTAATTAATTTTTAAGACAACATTTTAGTGTATTTTTGTATCATATGGTTACATTCACAAAGAATATTTAAATTCCAAAAAAGCAGTGTGTTATTCATAATACTTTTATTAGTTGGAAATTATTATAAAATTTGATAATGAGTCTTGACGACGAAGAATATAGTAGTGTTTCTTGGGATACTGGAGCTACTGATTCCTTTAAGCCTGAAGATTTGCTGGACGAAGTTGTTGAAGAAACCTCTCAAGATCTTGATAATTCAACTTTTAGTGCAATCAATAATTCTATATTTTCAGTATGTTGAAGGACCGTTCTGATAATATATTTATTAAGAAAATTACAATATACAACTATTGATTTTGCATTTTATTTTTAACGTTTTAAAAAGATAGTCAATTAAGTTATTATTTGCAAGGCTTGGAATTATTTTCTTACAACGTGAACTTTTCATTTTCTATTCATTCATCAAATTAATCAGACATTGGCACCTTCAACGATTAATCATTCCAATTCCAACGATGAACATAATGACAATCGACATTCAACTACAGATTCATATGTTCCTAGTATTACGGTACCTATAGCATGTGCTATGACCATTACAGTTACTGACCCGATTAAAGAACTTGATGGAACTAAGGATGCCTTCATCTCTTATCTTCTTACCACAAAGGTATTATTATTATTAAAAACTTTAGTATTTTTAGAATAATGAGTGCAAATATTAATTATCATTGATTCCTAGACTACTTTAGACACATTCACTACTCCGACAGTGGTTGTTAGGAGAAGGTTTCAAGATTTTGTGTGGTTACATAATTCTCTTAGTCGAGATTTTGCCGCGTGTGTAATTCCACCGTTACCTGATAAGCATCGATTAGGTATTAATCATTTTTGAAAAGAAAGTTTTTTAATTTGCTGAATTAGTTATTTTTCTCTTCTCTCTCTCTCTCTTTTTTAGAATACATAACTGGTGATAGATTTGGACCAGAATTCGTTGAAAAACGCCGTGCAAGGTAAAATGTACTTAATGAACTTAAAAAAATTTTCGCGTTTTTAATGAGTTTTCTTTAATAATAAAATAACTATTTCATTGAAAAAAAAATACGCGTCAGGATAGTCTTCAAAGATTATTAGAGAGATTAGCTCGTCATCCAACCTTACAAAAGAGTGAATATTTTAGAATATTCTTAGAATCAAGAGAATGGGTAAAAAGAAATAGATATATATTTATTTTTCGTTTTTTATATTTTTATTAATTATTTATTTTAAAAATCTTTAATAATCATATATTTTTTAGAATGCCGAATCATTATACAGGCAAAAGAAGTCTAATGATGGAGTTTTTGAGAATCTAGGTGATGTGCTACTTAATGCGTTTTCTAGAATTAAGAAACCTGATGAAAGATTTGTTGAGATTAAAGAAAGTGTTGATAAACTTGAAGAAAACTTGCAAACTATCGACAGATTATATTTTAAGATAATTAAACGACAGACAGGTAATTACTTCCGAAGGTCTTGATGCGTCGAGCTTTTATTAAAAAGATATTTCGGATTATCTCGGATTTTAGATCTGGAATCTGATTATCGAGAATTCGGTACTAGTATCGTTAACCTGGGACAATTGGAAACTGGGATTTCCACGCAACTTGAGAATTTTGGAGAGGCAATTAATAAATTTTCGGATGCATGGAAGCAAATGGTTTGACATCGTTAATCTTTCATTCTTCGTACATCGAAAAACTTTTTTAAAAATAAACCTTATGACCTCCTTTGTTAGACTGATCAAGAAGAACTTGAATATTTAAATCAAATTCGAGAATTTCTCTCATATTGTCATTGTATCAAGGTTTGATTTAAAATTATAAAACTTTATAGTTATTAATGATCATATCAATTTATTTAAAAGTTATTATATTAAAAAAATTTAGAATGTTTTAAAACTTCGAGATCAGAAACAAGTTGATTTTGAAGAACTATCAGAATATCTTCAAGGAGCAAGAACTGAAAAAGAAAATATTATTAGTACTGGTAAAGGATCTATGGGACTTTCATCATTTTTACGTGAAAAAGTGGATTATATTAAGAATGTAGATCAAGAACAAGCTAAAAAAGAGAGAATACAAAAATTAGATGCAAAGATTAATGAGGTAGTTTTTTCCTTTCCTTTCCATTTTCTTATTTAAGCAAAGTAAGGATGGATGAATTTTTAAAACTATTAAATCTCTTTTTGTTATAGTTGAGTAAAGAGGTTGAGAGTAGTAATGACATATCTGAGAAATTCTCTGAGGAGGTAGCCAAAGAGTATGAAATATTTCAAACTGCAAAGACTGTAGAATTAAAAGAATGTTTATTAGCTTATACTGATAGACACGTTGAATTTTATCGTCAGGTAAATTATAATATATATGTATATTTATGTGATATATTTTAAGACTTACATCGTTTTATCCCTACAATTCAGGGGATGCAATTATGGAAAGAGATTATTCCTATTCTGGAAGGGATTAAAAATTAAGAATGGGATTGATCATTTTGGACAATTTTTTTAATTAATAAGTAATAGTTTTTGAGTGTATTGGTGGTAGTTAATGTATGTGATAAGTTTTTACAAATTTTTATGTTCCTTTTGTGTTACACGATGTAATTGGCTTTTTTTTTTTTATTGTATTTATTTTGATTTTATTTTATTTTTATTTTGAACAAATAAATATCTTTGTATAAATATTATGTTAATACTTTTTCAAGATAAAAAAATTTTTTTTTTTTATTGACAAGTTTTCGTTTCAATGAGGTAAAATATTGGTGACGCCATGGAGAAAGTAAAGATGAAGATAGAAATGGAAATGAGGATATAAAGCAAAGGGTTGATGATTATATATAGTAGTTAGCATCAAAAAAAAAAAAAAAAAAAAAAAAAATAAGTAGAATATGTTAATTTTAAAAAAGTTAGATGTTTATAAATCTTTTAAAACAAAGATGGTTGAAAGGGAGAGAAAATGAATTATTATTAAGTTGTTGAGGACATTCAAATAATTAGTGTTTCTTAAAATAAAAAAAGGTTCACTTAAAAAAACTTTGATATGTTATCCTCGTGGCCCTAGATCATCATCATTGAACTTATTTTTTTCTTTCTTTCTTTCTTTCTTAACTCGCAATTAATTTTAGTTTTTGCGCGTAATTTTTAAATTAGCTTTGCGCGTTGGTACAATCCCTGGCCTATTTTAAATGATAATAAAAACGTGTATTAATTAAATATATTTCAATTATAACGAATTCATTAATTAATTTTTAATTTGTAAACTTACAATGTGGCCTCGTTCTCTACAATTATAACATGTCTTTACGGTTTTATCGGCAGGGGCAGTAGAACAATCACGAGACTAAATAATTTTTTTTTAAAAAAAAAGGTTATTCTATCTTCGCATTTGAAAGGACTTTTCTTTCCTACAAAAAGTTTAAACTTACGATATGTCCAAATCTTCCGCAATTATAACACTTTACTCCAACAGCCCGACAATCTTTAGCAAAGTGATTAAACCCGCCACATTGGTAACAAATAATGCGACTATGTCCGCCGTGACCGTGACCATGACCATGACCGTGACCGTGGACAAAACCATAACCTCGACGACCTCCTCGATGTCCTCCATAACCACCACTTCTGCATTGACGAGCCAAATGACCCTGAGAGAATTCGTCATGTATTAATTAATATTACATTCATACTTTCTTAATGAACAAAGTAAAAGGTAATAATAATAATAATAAAAAAAGAACTTACGAAACGGTTACAGTTGTAACAGCGACCTCCTGACCCACCACCACTGTTAACACGGACGGAGGGGCAGTCGGCTTGAAGATGTCCAACTATATTTAAAATTAAATTTAAATTAATCGATTCTTTGTAAACCCTATTAAATGATCTGAACTGAATTAAAATATGATCAAATCCTTACCCCCACCGCACGAGTAACATTGTTTGGATTCAGCAGTTCTGGGTTGAGGGCATTGATTAGCTTCGTGTCCAGGTTGCTTACAGTTGTAGCATAACCTTTCGGGTTCTGGACAAGAATCGGCAAAATGACCGACTAAATGACAAAATAAGCTATTCGTTAGTTTATAAATAAATAGAGTGTCGTAACTTATGAAGACATTAATTGAGATGAGGAATTAGATCTCAGATCAAAAGGGTCGTCGGTTTATGAGTTCAAATTATACTAACCATTACCGCACTTAAAGCAACCTCTTCGAGCAAAATTCATCTTTTTTAACACAAGAAATTAAAATAATAGTAATTATAATATAATAATAAAAAGTAATAGTAATAATAAAATAATAGTAATAATAATAAGCTAATCGGTGGAAAAAGGGGAAGGAAAAAAAATAAATAAAATAAATTGGAATAAGAATAAAAAAAAATAAAGGGATGGAGACTGCTTCCTTAAAAACTCGTCAACTACTGATGATCTACACTAAGCAACAACTACTACTGCTTCCGCCTTTAAAAGAGAAGGGTAATGGAGGGAAGTGATAGTCCTTCTTGATTATGAAGAACGAAGCACAAGTTAATAAGGTATTTAAATACATCCCTTTTATTTATATAGATGTTTAAATTTTCCAGTTCAATAGTTTGTAAATACTTTTTCACATCCTTGTGTTCCTTTTTTTTTAAACCTAGTAACCTAGTAAATCAATTTCGTCATATTACTTGCATCTCATAAATTACACATGTATCACTGAGATGAATTATTTTATCATCGGTCTTTGATCCTTGAAATACACAAGAATACTTTATTTTGGTTCAATATTATTAAATTAATTTAAGAACAAGGCAAATATGGAAATCAATCCTTTTGTGTGAGGTTAAAAAATTTCTATCAACTGATGACAAATCGCTGATCATCCATCAATTATTTGATATCGGTAACGAACGATTAAACGGTCTTTAAAGAACGTAAAAATATCAGAAAAGAAGGCATAAAGTCACTAGATCAATCAATAAACTTTTAGATCACTCCAGGGTGAGCTTCCGTTATTTATCACATAATCGCACTAAGTATCAGGTATTTTCGTCACGCATATTGTCGCACAATGGTTATATTATTTTAAGTAAAAAAAAATTTTTTTTTTTTTTTGTAAATAAATTAATTATATTTATTTATTTATTCTGTCAAAATTTTAATCATCATCCTCATCCTTGAATTTTTCCTCATATTCTTGAAATTTTCCAGACTTAATAGCTTCCTCAATAGGATTCACAACATTCATTACACCAGTTTTTTTAAGGCGTTCGAATAAAACAAATAATTTTTCTGCTTCTCTTTCTTTTTCTTCATCAGTCATATTAGATAAAGAAGGTAATTCGTTATCATAATATTGTCCCGTTATAGGATTAATTGATTTTTCTGAATATTTAGCGGTAGTTGATGGCGGTATCATTATATTTCTATTCATTAAGAATCCCACTGCATTTCCATAACCAACGTTATGAACAAATAAATTTGCTATTTAAGAAATTTGTAAAACAAGATAAGGATGTGATTAAAAAGAATTTTCAATGTAAAAAAAAAAAAGTTATAACAGGTAAAACTACCATCTTGATCGCATAAACTGAATAATAGTTCGCTAACATTGTCTTTTAAGTGTGGTAACATAACAGAAGTCATCAGCCTAATCAATCTAGATGTGAGATTATCTCCTTTTTCTAAAGGTTTACTTCGATCTCTATAAAAAAAAAGGAAAGTTCAGTTGAACCTTTTTTTTAAAAAAATAAACTCAACAGTTTACTTACACATTATCGGGCAATAATTCTCTTCCTATTAAAATTTTAGCATTATCATCTTCGTCGGCTAATTTTTTAATTAAAACAACTAAAGGAGTAATAATTTCATCAAAACAATCCAAATTATTTTCGTTTTTACTAATAATTTCATCATGGTCATTTTTTACAACCGTATATATCATCGATCTTAACATATCGATTAAATTATAACAGATAACATATTGTTCTTTTTTCTCACTAGATGGAGGAAACCAGATTGATTTATATGGTTCTATTGGGAAATTTAATAATGCATGTATTGCATGTGAATGCGGAGGTGAAAGTGGTATTTGCATTGATCTTGATATTTTTAAAAGTATTTTTAATACAGGTAAAAGCAATCTATTGATAAAGGTAGGTTAATTTCTTTATTTTATTTTATTTTTTTTTAAAAAAAAAAAATAATAATAATAAAAATAATAAACAACTAACTTTTCAAATTTACTAGGGCAATCAACAGATTTTCCCTTTTCTTGTAGATCATTATCACGTTCAATTTTAGGATCATTCATCATTAAATTAAATAACAATTTTAATTGTTCATTTAATACCATAACTCTGGTTATAGGTAATGAATTAATATCTTCTCTTGAAGAACTATTTGAACCCGATAATTCTTCAACATATTTACTTACAATCTATAAAAAGAGATTAATCAGTTGAATGGATTATGAAAATTCATAGAAAAATAATTATGTTCAAACTTACCTTAAATAAAATATCAATTATTCCTAGGTCATCGATTAGGGATTGTACGGCAGGCTGTGGATTAACAGTCATGACAAACAAAATTCTTGATAATAAAAATTGGGTTTTAATTGAAATCTCTTCATCCTATCCATAAGGAAAAATTAAGACTATTGCCGTTTTTAATATTCACAACGCTACCCAAATATTTTTACCAACCTTGAGGAATTGACATACTCCAGGAACACATTTATATTTATCAAACAATTCACGCGTACTCTCTTCAAGTAATAACGTGTTTGCTAAACATGTTAAAGATTCTTGAATTACTGGTGTTTCATTTGATCCCGATTCTGGATGTAAGAGGTTTGCATGAATTAACAATATTTTAAATCCCTATACGTGAATTAGTTAGGATTTCAGAATAATAACTTCAATATGTCGTTTTTTTTTGTATCAAGGTCACTTGTAGTACCTCATCAGAGAATAAGTTATCACATCCCTTCGCATCGCGTCCCAAAACTTTTAGAACTTGTAAAGCTAGAAAACGAACTAGATTATAATAATTAAGATTAATAATGAAGGTATTTTTCGAAATTCAAATCAAAAAGAGTTCAAATATACCATTATCATTCCATTTTTGTTGGACCCCAGTTTCATCGAGATCAGTTAACAAGGATGAAACCAGCTCTGCCTTTGTATCCAACGGGATACTCGTCAACCCTAAATAAGTGCATTAAAATACAATTCGACTCTAGATACTTGAGAATACCATTTGAAACTTAGTACAACACATACCAACTTGATTTGCTAATAATGAAGTCAATATTAAAGAAACGGCTTTATGATTCGATTTTTCTTTGAGAGAAATATAAGAACTCATTATATATTTTTTTATACGAATTTCAGAAGGCAGGCTAATAAATTAAAATTTTTTTTTGAATTTTACCGATCTTAAAGACCGGCGAATTCAATCATATGATTTTTATTCGAAATATTATTGGAAGAAGTGTGACATTAAATGTCACATTGAGATTCGACCAAGTTTTTGCATGGGAGGATTTCATAATTGATTATCTACCAATGATCTTCCTCACATGTTTTACCCGTGTTCATATTTTACTACATGAGCGACTATAAGTAAAGTATATAATAAGTATATATTAAATAATTTTTTCATTTTATATGACCCTTCATTTTTTATGAAGTAAATACATTATATTGATGATTTGTCACAGGGTAAATATTTATGAAGGAAAGGATTTAAAAGTATGATTTATAATTCGCATATAATATCATATAATTTATTTTATTTTTTTATTAAAAAAAAGAAAATTTGGCAGAAAATATATACTACAGTGAACTCTTGATATAACGAATTCTAGGATCTGGATATCAACTTCATTATAAGCTTATAACGAATTTTTTAAAGAATTTAATTGGCTAGTTCACTATAGTAAAGGTAATTTTAATATATTTGATTTAAAAATTCGCTATATCAAGGGTTCGCTATATCAAGGTTTGACTGTATATATATTTTTTTGAGAGAGAGGGATGGATTTATTGATATATAAAAATTTATAAGTATTTGACTTATAACCTTTTTTTCCTGAATCAGGAAAACAAAGATTTTTGAAAGTAATTCAAAGACTGTATAATTATTAAACTGTTTTTGTTAAATCAAAATGTAAAAAAACAAATATCTAAAATGTTTATCAATAAAATAAATAAGAACAATTTTGTTAATAATAACGTGAAGAATAAAAATTATTGAATGAATAAATGATGGATGGAAAGTTGTATGTTGTTTTGTTTACATGTGGGAGCTTTGCAGTAGAAAGGGAGGAAATTCTAAAAAAAATTTTTTTTTAGTTAATGTTAAATCTGAACTTATTTTACTAAAAAAATCATAATTAGCTTAGAAAGTAAAATTTTAATTTTTTTTAGAGTTTCCTCCCTTTCTACTGCAAAGCTCCCATGTATTCATATAATATAGTCTTAAAATAGTTCAAGAAATCTAAATCTTTTTGCTTTTTATTCAAATAGATAAATGATTTTATGTAATTACTAAATATTAAATTAGTGAACAAATTAATTTTTACACTTTTAAGTAATAAACTTAAATTTAAAGGTCCAAAAATATAAATCTAAAATAATACTCTAAATTTATTTAGTCAAATTTAAACTAAATCATATCAATATAATCTATTATTTAAATTTGATCTATTTCACGTTAATGCTAAGTATTAGATTTTTTTTATCTGAAGTATTATTTATTTTCATAAAATTATTAATTTTATATGAAAATCAGTTTAATATTAACTATAAAAAAAATACTATAAATTCATGTTCTATGTAAAATGACAAAATATATTTTTATAAATATTGTAATATTTTTGTTAATTTTAAAATATATTTTAGCATTATTATTTATGATTGCTAAAAGTAACATACATTTTATATCACTAAATCAATTTCAATAATAATTAAACATAATATGATTGACTAAAATTTATCATCAAATTTGTATCACATGCATCAACTTTTTTGTAAATACATTTGATGCAAATCTGAACCAATTAAAATTACATATTCTTAACTTATGTATCAATTCTAATCCTGTTCATTTCTAAATCAGATTAGATTAATTGAAAAAAATGTAACTAATTATATCAAAGTTATAATTGAATATGAATTTTTTAATTTTTAATTGATTAAATCAAAAAAAATAAGATTACATAGCAATTCCAATTGTATGCATGTTTTATATCACATGAACAAATAAACAAAAATATAAATTATGTTGTTGCAAGTGATCAACATGTTTCACTAAATTGATCTACTAAAGAAATTACACAAGTAATTACACAGAATTGATCTACTGGATGATCTACAAATTAATCTACATGTATTACGTGATATTTTTGACATTGTTGATATAGTTGACATTAATGACATTATTGACATTATTAACATTAATAACATTATCAACATTGTTGACATAGTTGGTATAATAGATATAATTTATTTATTTAATATATTTTATTTA